ATTCTCCACCTGCTGAAGTCATTATTACATTCATTAATAAACTGATGTTTGATGTATTTGACTTCAGGTCCGGCTGAATCTTCCCGCAGGGTGTGAGTTTTTTCTTATTTAACTACACACACGCACACACACAGTTAAGGGATCAAACATTTCTCCTGCCCTGACTTTTCTCTGATGTTTCAGATCAAATGAGTCGCCCGACGAGGACGACAGACACAGGTGAGGGAGTACTGTCAAATCCTGATGACGAAGCTATATAAATTAAATATTAACATTTCCTGTGTCTGCGTCAGGAACTATGGAGGTGTTTATGTTGGTCTACCCACAGACCTAGACGATGTTCCCAAAGTAAAAATAGGATCGCTTAGAGGTAACACACAGCCAGATATTTATTGGCGATTTTTTTTTTTTAAATAAGTTGTAATTTGTTTCTGTAATACTGTATTCTCCAGACCTGAAACCTTTTGACGCAGTGCTTCTCAAATAGTGGTTATAATGCACTGTCTTTATTCATGCTTGATCAATGGTCCAGCCTACAGTGACTAGATGTTGTTGCAGCTTATTTTATTAATCTATTAATGATAATCAGGGGATTGTATACAGAATGTTTGTGATAGCTACTCATACAGTGGTTTGTACTAATACATAAATAAATACTACTAGGTCGCTCGATAGTATTTCAATTACGGGGGGGGGGGGGGGGGGGGGGCGTGACAGAACATCTGTCCCCTAGGGGGGGCATGGCAGAAAATAATTGAGAAGTACTATTTTAACCATCATTTTCAATGTCTACATATTAGCTAATATGGTCATTTGGGCTTATTTTGCTTTTTATTTTATTTGGTAATTGTGACAGTACTTACTATTTTTAGCCAAATTTTGGCAATTATTGTACTCTAAGGTGATCTTTAGCCATTTTCTTCAAAACAACTTTAGCAGATTTGGGCTAATTCAACAATGTTTCCTGAGCTCACTTGTTTTCTTTTTCTTCAATATTTTGTACCCACTGTACACATACATGAAGTACAAATACGCAAAGTGTTCAAAATAAAACTGAACAGAAAAAAAAAACACATTTAAATGTACGCAGCATTCAGGAAATGAGATGCGACATGAACCACCTTACCTGTGTGTTTCCTCCAGAGACTGACAGCGACACTTCTTCCCTTATGAAGCCACTGTGGGGGAACGGAGCCAAGTTTTAATGATGAGCCAGGTGTGTGTGTGTGTGTGTGTGTGTGTGTGTTCATTAATGAACCTGTGATGTCAGCAGTAAATTTGCACGTTTCAGCTGTATTTATCCACTTCCACGCTCCCATGCCTGAGTCCATAGAGGAAAGAAGTTGTTTTAGCCCACAGGGATACAGGAGCTGCCGTTCTGATGCTGCCCCCGCTGGTCAGCTTTTGTCAGCGGGACACCTGAACAGAGAATTTTAAACAATGAAGTTACACAGTAATATTTGATTTTTGTATCCAATCTGATGCAGAGGTCAAATGAATCTCAGTTGGAGTCTACAGCAGCCCCTTGTGTCCTAAAGGGTGACTTGCGTTTGTTGTTGTTGTTGCTCCACAGACACAGCAGGAGGCCGAGGTCGGATCCCTGCAGATGTCCATCACATGCTGAGACATGAGGCGTCTCTGCAGATCACCCACTGTGTATGGTTCAACCTGTCTGTCAAGGTTGCCCTGAGAGTCAGGCTCCGGTCTTTTCTGGGTTTACAGCAGGACAGATCCGGACTTGGACACACGCTGGTTCATTGCGTCCACGCTCTCGATGCCTGAGAGCGATAGCCTGAAAATATGAAGCCATGAGGAGCAGTGTTAAGGACTAGTGAACTTTTAGGCGAACTGTTTCAAGGACCAATCACATGGATATCGTCAGCTCCACTAATGACGGTGTGACTGGGTTAAATCCCTGTATCCTGAACCTGAAGGAGAGAGTGGTTACAAAAGATTATGACGATTCAGTGTAAGTCGAATAATAAATTCATTGCAATTCACAATTACACTGCACCACAAAAAGCCCTCCTGAACCTTCCTGCAGGTGGTGAGTCCACTGAAAGGCGCCAACCGCCCTAACCGGGATTTAATCTTGCCCTAGAGGTGAACCCTGGAGTTCCACAGCAATGACAGAGACATTGCCTCTGGGTCAAAGCGCCACATGTCACATAATATAATTTATTTATATAACATTAGTAAAGTCAACAATGTTAAAAAATGTATCATTACTACTTGTGGATCCTTTGGTTTTACTCGACATTTTACATTTCCACCCAAACCATTGGAGCCATGTGAATGTGGACGTGGTAAGTCGTGTCATAACTGACACTCACAGGAACGGTGACAGTGCCCTGCAGCTAGACATTGTTTTGCAACAGCGTGAAAGGAAAACAATAAAATCAACAGAAAAAATATGGGTATAGGCACTACCCCGAATAGTCTGGCTTTTTACAAATACAAAAAAAAAATGCTTAAAAACGTACTTCTACCATGTCACGACATTAGCTTAAAATTCTGGTTATAGTTGGTCAAAATATCTTAAATTAATTTAGAAAATTATCATTATGGAAGAAACAGATGATAGAATGTCAAATGGATAACAGATAAAAAATGCAAAGAATGAGCTTATAAACTGAATACTCCAACCAGGAAACTGATATGAGGTAGGCAAAAAAACATGTGGTCGAAAAATAGTCACAGCATTTAAAAAAGCAACACCTGATAAAACTGAGGCGGAACCTTCCAAGATCTTATCCGTTATAACAGACTAACATCTGACAAAAAGGCACAGGACAAATTACAGTTAAATAAAAAACAGTTCACTTAAACCAGTGTTTTTCAACATGGGCATTGTGACCCCATGTGGGGACGCCTGGAATTGAAATGTGGTCACCTGAAATTGATAAAAATGTTTTTTTTTTAACTACGGTCCCTCGTCTTTCGCGGGTTTTACGTCCCAAGAACGTCCATGACGGGCAAAAAACCACAAGCAGAGACATGAAAGGTGTGATATTATTTACATATATATTACCCATTTAAGGAGACATCGTAGAGCGTGAAATATGCCAAAAAACGTAAAACTAAAAAAAAAACGTTTTTAATTAAAAAAAAATTATTTAATTCATTTATTTCTACTCTTAGGCTAGAAAATGTTTATTTTATCACAAAAATAATGACAATTTTTATATACCCCAAAAACCCACTATATATATATATATATATATATATATATATATATATATATATA